CAAGAGTAGTGACCATACAGTGATACGTATACAACATTTTACAGCTTTAACTGCATTTCCCAAACTTAATATATGGGATAATATTAATATTGAAATGAAAAACATGTGTTTACCATAAAATAATAATTACTTTATGTCTGCTTCTTTTGGCAGATCGCCCGGAATTTCTACAAAGTAACTCCTCACCCAGACTCAGCTAACCTTGCAGAGGATTTTCTACACGAGTGGTCGGTATGTTCTTTCCATTTCCACAAATAACTTTCATTATGTGGTATACAGGAATCATACTTTGGTTAACTGATATAACAGTTGTGGTAAATCGAAACACACTGTTAAAAATACAGGGATAAAGTGATAATATACTGTGATAAATCTGATATTATACCGTGATAAAATCACAACGTACCATGGTAGACTGATATCATACTGTGATAAGCGTGGGAAACAGTAAAAATGGTAAACTGATAATATAAACTTGAAATTGTTTTGAAAAGTAACTTATATTTCAATTATTCAACATGGTACCTGTAAAGCATGAATTATTCTGTTGTAGACTTTATTGGAGTAGAAAAGGTTTGTTTCAACTAGCACGTTATTGTAAGTAAAGAATTATTCTGTTGTAGACTTTATTGGTAGTAGAAAAGGTTTGTTTCAACTAGCACGTTATTGTAAGTAAAGAATTATTCTGTTGTAGACTTTATTGGAGTAGAAAAGGTTTGTTTCAAATAGCACGTTATTGTAAGTAAAGAATTATTCTGTTGTAGACTTTATTGTAGTAGAAAAGGTTTGTTTCAACTAGCACGTTATTGTAAGTAAAGAATTATTCTGTTGTAGACTTTATTGGAGTAGAAAAGGTTTGTTTCAAATAGCACGTTATTGTAAGTAAAGACTTATTCTGTTGTAAGTTTTGTCGATGAAAATGGGGGATTTGATCACAAATAAAGGAGTAAATATGTAATAAACTAACTAAATAAAAGAAAACCGAAAGAAATTAAATTAACAAACAAAAATAAACCTTTAAAGTGTTGGCCTTTAAATAAGCCACCCGATTTCATAGAGCTTTTCAAAATTTTATAGACCAGACATATAAGAAAATTAAGGCGTTTTAGTAAGGTGGTACACCTCTATTATTATTATTGAAAAGCTGATGAGATTTACTAAAACAGAATTAAAGAAGAAAAAATAATATATGCATGATTTATGATAATTAAATATGATTACTTATGCATAAATTACTTCTCTGGCCAAAAAGAAGGGTCTCCTTTGAACGCAAAGATCTTCAGATCACCATAAGATAGGAAGCTGAAAGTTTCATACAAGTTCTGATCGATATATGGGTGACGTTTCAAGCAAAAATAAAATTATATAGCACTGAAACAAACATGTTACATTAGTAACCAAATAGAAACCGGTTTTAGAGCAAAATAGTGGGAAAAAATTAAAAATAATTTCATTTATAAACTACAGATTTATTTTGGTTCAGCAGTATAAGTACTCAACATTCTGACCAAATTTCATAACATAAAAGCAAATATATCTGAATATATATATGTATTCAAAGCTCACACACTAAACAAAAACAAAAAAGTGTTTTTGTAAAATCTAATTTAATATAAAACTTTCATATTTTCTACATTTTGAATCTCATATGATTCCCCACTCCCAGTATTCCGATCATTGTCTTCAAAGTCTTACTTAATGGCTCTTATTTTTTCTCCTCGAAATATTCTTTTTCCATTGACTTTTTCCGTATGTTCTTACTTCGTCCCATGTCTTTATTGAAAATACCACCAGCAAAAAGTCTTTCTAATATCAAATTATTCCAAGTTATAAATAAGATGGATCCCATAAAATAAAGGTCAGACTCTGACTCAGTTCCGCTTTTAAATTCAAGAACATCCAGGATGCACCAAGTGCTAGGACATACATCTTTTTCTGCTATACATATATAAAATATACTTCAAAATAAAGCAAGGATAGAAAATATGAAAAAAAAGACCAACGAATCTTTCAGCTTTATATATAGTTTCTGTTGCTAACATTTTGTTGAGAATAAAATTCTAATTTTTGTTACTCATTTGGCAAGAATATTTGCATTCTGAAATCAAGATACATTTCTCAAGACCCAAGCCTATAATCCCACGCTGTCGCATTAACACCCGTTTCTTCACCTACCTTTCACTTATGACTTTTATATTTTGAACAAATTCAATTAACCGAATTTCACGGATAAAACAATATGCCTGTACCAGAAAATACGTGTTTTTAACAAACCTCTAAAGTTTTGGTGGGCTTCAAATAACATTATTTTTTAATTCTTCAGGTATTTGTAGTTTGTATATACCTCTAATAACATGTAAATTTAAATACTTTTGTCATTTTTTACTAAATGAGTGAAACTTAACAGACATTACCTATACACTTTACTTTTAATAATATCTGATGTTATTTCTGTTTGAAAGTAAATGTATAGAACGTTCGCTTTTCTTATTGAATTCTCCGAATATAGCATTTGTCTGCATCCGTCACCCTTAGTAAATATTGTACATTCCTTATCTTTATGTTCAGTATCTCTTCGTCTTCTTAAATTGGGATATACACTTATTTGATCTTAGATTATTTGGTGCACGTTGCTAATAATCATATCATAAAAGGAAATCAACATTCACTTAGTAAACAAAAGTCTTCCCTTAATATCTGTTAATGTTTTCGATAGTATTACTTGTTATCTCGATGATGGAATCATGGAGTTGGCGTAAAAAAGATTATCTTCAATCGGTGGGTGTTGGGAATAGCTAGTAAAGTGGATTGTCGAATGAGAAAAACAAAAGTTTTTATTAATGGATTCAAATCAAACTGTACTTTCATTACTAGTGGAGTACCTCAGGAATCAAAACTTGAGCTTTTATTTTTTTTTTTTGTTTACATCGGTTAAATTTATAGGATTATGACTATTAAACTGGTAAATATTACGGATAACAGTAAACTCTTGGGTATTTTTAGCTGTAATGAAGATGTTGAGGTAGTAGAGAATGACTTGGATCAATTGGTTAATTGGAAAAATATTTGGTAAATAACTTTTAATTATAATAAGTACACGTTAATGCATTTAAGTTACCACAATATGTATCGCATGGTTAATATTTAACTTAGATAGGAACTTAATAGTGAGACTGAAGTCTTAGCAGTGTGGCGGATAGGGCATTAAGCTATTGAAACAGTGCTCTGTTGCTAGTAACAATAGGTGGATTTACAGACATATTTATCACAAGCCAAAAGAAATAATTATCTCTTTGCAAACATCACTAGTTATGCCTAATTTGGAAAACTGTTTACAATTTTGATTTCCTTATCTAAGAAAGAATATTGACTCATTGGAAAGGGTTCAAGATGATTTTAGAGATGGAAAGATTATCTCAAGGAGATAAAATAAAAAAAGTTATCTTCTCTTGAATGAAGAAGGGTATAATGTGATATAGTTGAAATTTACAAAATTATCCGGGCGATTGATAGGATAACGACCTCTGATTTCTTCGTGCTATATTCTGAAGACAATAAGACGAGAGAACACAAGTTTAAAATTTGGAAAAGACAGGCTAAGCTATAATTACACAAGCCTACAATGCTTTTACTGTCTTGAGATTTTTACATGTTTTACGGTAATTCCTGTAAGTTGAATCCAAAAATGATATCCATTTTTCTCCATCACGTGCAGACTTTTCACAAAACGTTATATGTACTTTTATGTAAGTGAATCATTTTCATTGAAATCGGGTCACATTTTGTTATGCTTAAAATGTTGACAACCACTAGCTATAGATTTCTGTGGACTATTCGCGAAGTAAGAGTCTTATTAATCGTTCTAGAACCCAAGAGAAACACACCGCTAATATATAAACGGCTAACAGGTCTCATGACGTGTCATTTCTGGATGCGGTAAGAGATTTGGGCCTACCAAAGGATTCTTGACAAATTTTAGGGTCCACGCTTCTGGTTAAGAACCTACTTTATCCAGGTACATCATTTAACTGGTACAGAAATCGTGAGAAAGAGTTTATACCATACTTTTGCAAGAAGGTTAACTGGGTTATTGCAACAATATTTCTGAATTAATACCAATGCTAGGAGCTACAGCCTATGAACCAAGTGGCGATTGATCCAAAAGAAGTCTAAAAGGTGTTCTTCACAATGGTAACATATATGTATCTGTTGCTATTGCTAATTCGGTTCACTTGGAGGAAATGTACGAAAATATCGAACTTCTTCTTAATAAGGTCAAATACAAAGGACATGGTTGGCTAATTTGTGGAGACTTAAAATTCCTTTGTATGTTGTTGGGTCAACAATCCGGTTATACAAAGTATCCATGTTTTTTTGTGTGAATGGGACAGCAGAGCACGAAATCAACACTTCATAAAGAAGCGATGGCCACGCAGAGTCAGCATGATACCAGGATCGAAAAATATTGAACGAGAACATTTAGTTGACACAAAGAAAGTCCTATTACCTCCACTTAACATAAAACTGGGCTTGATAAAGCAGTTGGTAAAGGCCTTAGACAAAGATGGCGACTGTTTCAAGCATCTATGTTGGCAATTCCCGTCTCTTTCAGAAGCAAGACTAAAAGAAGGGATTTTTGTCGGGCCTCAGATTAGGAAATTGACTTCGGATGAACAATTCGAAAGGACAAGAAGCGCGGGTTGCTTTAAAGATGTTATTGAAAAATGCTTAGGAAACAACAAGGACCCAAATTACGAAAATATTGTCAATAACATGCTCGATAAATTCAGAGTTAAGTTGTAATATGAGCTTGAAAGTTCATTTCTTACACTCACATATTTACTATTTCCATGATAATCTCGGTGCCGTCAGGAAGAAGAAGGGAAAAGTTTCATCAAGACATCAGGGAAATGGACAGGAGGTATCAGGGAAGGTGGAACATCAGCATGATGGCCGATTACTGCTGGTCATTGAAACGAGATACTCTAAACGCAATACATAAAAGAAAGACAACAACACGTAGTTTTGAGACTAAAAGACGTAGATTTCACAAAAAAATCAGGATGAATGGGGATGCATATTCGTTTGACATCAATGTTCTTCTCTTTTCTTCAGTTTGTTTGTTATTTTGTTAACAAACATAATAATGAAAAATG